GACAACTCAGTGGCAAGCATTGCGGCAAAGGCTGATGTGTGCTGTGTTAAATTCAGCCTCTGTTCCAGATGCCATTTGGCTTTTGGCTGTGCGGATCATTGTGTCCACTACTATGATCTTCATAACACTAAACAGCCAATCATGGTATTCAAAGGACACTGAAAAGCAGTCTCTTGTGCAAAGTTTGTGAGTGGTGAGGCTAACACTGTGGAATGTAGGGAAACTGTACTGCCCACATTCCTTCAAGGGTCATATCAATGAAAAAAACTTTGTAGGCCTTGCTTCCCAGGGAGATTATATAGCTTGTGGAAGTGAGAACAGCTCTCTCGACCTGTACTATAAAGGACTTTCTAAGACTTTGCTAACTTTTAAGTTTGATACAGTCACAAGCGTTCTGGACAAAGGCCGAAAAGCAGATGATACAAATGAATTTGTTAGTGCCACATGCTGGAGGGCACAACCAGATGCAGAGTTCAAGGTGCAGATTGCTGCTAACAGTGAGGGTACAATTAAGGTGCTAGAATTGGTATGAAGGGTTTACTCAAGTCTAATTGTGCTTGACCCTGCTGAAATACATCTGCAGCTGACAGTGAGAGAAGAAACAGAAAATGTCATGCGATGTCTCTCCCCAAAGTCATTATGGGTTTTGGATTTGTTCTATTTTTTCTTTTTCTCTTTTTCCTCCTTTGTGACCTTTGGGACATGGGGAATACCCAGTGAACTCTGCACCATCAGTGTCACTCCACAGACATTGCTACTGGTGGTGTTGTGGTTGTGGTTACCTAATTTTTGTGATAGGGAGACACATTCTTTTACATAAAAATAAATAGCAAAAAAGTTTATTGAGCCACAAATAAATAAATGTATATATATATTACTTTTTTCTTGTTTAAATATTTTTAAAAGATAATTTTTACATAAAACTAATGTATGTAGGTTACAACATATGCAGAAGTAAAAGGTTTAACAACAATAGCTGGGAGAGGAAAAAGTGAAGTATTCTGCTATAAGATTCTTCTACTATGCATGAAGTGTAACATCACTAGGAGGTAGACAGTGATAGGTTTAAGACGTACACACACACCCTAGAGCAACCACTATAATAACACAGCAAAGAGTTATGGTGACTAAGCCAACAAAAAAGATTAAATGGAATCTAAAAGAGACTCAATTCATCCAAAAGAAGGCAGAAAAAGAGGGAAAATGGAATAAAGAACAGATGGGACAAACAAAACAAAGAGCAAGATGGTAGATTTAAACTTAACACTATCAATAATCACATTAAAATGTAAATGGGCTAAACACCCCAATTAAAAGTCAGAGACTGTCAGATTGAATAAAAAGAAAGATCCAACTATATGCTGCCTACCAGAAACCCACTTTAAACATTAAAACAACAACAACAACAAATAAACACAGCCAGCTGCTTTCTTCAAGACACCAAGCTGCTGAGAGCAGCTAGGAAAAAAAAATTACACAAATGAGTATCTTATTGCCGCTGTAAATTCATGGTATCCATCTTTCCTTTTGCACTCCTTATGGCCAGTAATCTGAGGTTCCCCCACACTCAGGCTCCCTGTGCTATAGCAGTGGCTTTCTTCCCTACTCCACAGGAAAAATAAGCTGTTCACCCTCACACCTGTTATGTTTCCACACCTGTTATGTTTCCACCCCGTTTTTGCCAAATTCGGGGAACCAGTAATCATTTCCCTCCTTCAAAAGACAAGTCTTAAGAGCAGGAATGGTCTCTGAGGCCCCACAGGGGCGGGAGGTGCCAGCTGCTTCCTCTCCCCCAGGAGGTCCTTCTCACTGCCTCTGCATTTCACACCCCATTTCCCCAGGGGCTCGATCAGAGAACCTAAGCATTCTCAGACAACCTCCTAAATATCTCATAGATCCATTTTGATCTCTCTAATTCCACCACCAAGGTGCTTCCAAGCCTCATGTATTTAGTCTCTACCTGACCGGCAAACTCTTCTCCTAGTATTTGATCCTGTTCCTCCAATCCACCCACTGGTCTGCACCCAGACTGATCCTTTGGAAAGCCAAATGTGAGCCTGTCACTCATCCCTACTTCCCACTCTCTGCCTTCCCACTGCCTTTGAGAAAAACCTCTGGCTCTTCAGCCAGCCTCATGTGGCCAGTGACCTCATCCAGCCTCCCTGCTCCTGGGGGCCATAGTCCTCCTTCAGGTCCTCTGCATCTCAGCTCTTTCTCATCTCAAAACGCTGGCATATGCTCTGCCCTTGGCCTTGAAAGCAACTCTACCCTCTCTCCATATCCTCCCCATACCCGTCCTCCAGCTTTAGTGGCATGACTTATTCCACAAACACAAGGGATGCAAATTTCACTCAAAATTTTCTTCCAGTCAACTCATACCTGACTCCAGCCCTATCATGCCAGGCTGGAGGAAAATTAGCTCTCCGTCTTTCCTGAGGCTTTTACTGTACCCTACCCTCCAAATTTTACAGAATCCTGGGGTCTTGTGCGGGAAGCCCCCAGTGTCCAGTCAGCATTCATCAGTCTGCCTCTGTCTGTGATTGCCTGGAAGCCCCTGTCCAGTCCGTGTGGTCATGAGACCTGCAGGCTCCACTGTTTCCTGGAGCTGCCTGGACCACAGGACACTGGAGAAGGCGGGGCCGCCAGGTGGCCAGAGCCCTGCCCTCTGTGTGCACCCCCCAGACAGCCTCTCTGGGGTCCTGCCACCTCCTGGGGTTGCAACGACAGATGGCTGCATAGTTCGCTCATTCTCTCTCCACAGTACTGAGACATTGTTTCTCTTTTGTGCAACTTCTCCCAGTCTCTCCCCCTCCTGCTTGGGGACACCTGTAACAACTACTTCGGTGTGCTCTCCTCCCACCAGCAAAGGTCCTGGAAGCTAAGACTCAGAAAGCCTCACTCCCCGCCTCCAGGGGGAAAGGGAAATGATAACGGAAAGGAAACACCAACTCAAAAAGGTATCCCGCCTCATTCCAGAGAGCCTTCCCTGGCCCCGCAGGCTATGCTCACTGATCTGTCTCTTAGGACTCTTCTCCCTCCTTTCTAACGCTCAGTGTCCCCGTATCCACACGTTCAATGTCTGAGTCACCCACCAGAATGGAAGCCCCGTAGGGCCCGAAGCCTCACACGGTGCCTGCCACTTCGTGTTTATTAGTACTGGTAGAATAAGTGGACGAAGGCAGGAGTCAACAAACAGTACACTTGCTAGCCCTTTGTATGCACAGGCAAAACCTGTATACTTGGAGAATCTGTTCTGGGTTTTGACAAACTCTGAAACACCCAGAAAAAAAAAAAAAAATACTTACTCTTTCTTGAGAAACTGCTGTAAAGTCCAGGCTAGAAAGGAAAAAGGAATTGGACATTGGTCTTGGTCCTAATAGAAAAAATTGTGGAAAGCCAAAGGAAAAGTACCTGTTTTAAAGGAAGGGAGCTTAAAATGCAGGCAAACATCAGACAACATGTCATTGTCACTTGTTTTTATTCTAGCTAATGGCATTTAACTGGCTGCGATGATACAGTGCCTCAGCCCCGGATGACACACACTCTGTAAAGGGAAGTCTGAAGTGTGGGAGCAACCAGTGCGCAGTCTATTGTGTCCCACATCAGAATAACAAGTCTTACCTCCTCTCCAGCGCTCGTGCTTAGGGGAATGGTGGTGGTTTCAAACTAGGTCCACAAATTCTCTGCTGAACCTCCCTGCAAGAGGTGGAGCCTAATTCCCATCTTCTTGAATATGGGCTGACTGAGTGACTGAGTTGTAACAAGGAGGACAAAGTGGAATGAAGGTGTACAATTCCAGGACGAGGTCATGAGAAGGCACAGCGGTGAATGCCCGTTTGGAGAAGCCCCACAGATGAGGAACCGAGGCCTCCAACCAACAGCCAGCGAGGACCCAGCAGTCATAGACTGAGTGGGAAGTGGATCCTCCAGCCCAGGCAATCCAGTGACCAGAGCCCCCGCCTACACCTTGACTGCAAGCCCACGAGAGACGCTGCACCAGAGCCACCCACCCAAACCATACTGACTCCCGGCTCTCCAAAACTGTGCAAGATCACTACTATTTGTTATTTTAAGCTGTGGAATTTTGAGGATAATTCTGTACCTCTGACTTAGGCTCTCATTCTGGCATCCATTAGGAGGTTCCAGAGAGAGGCACTTCCAACCTAGAAACTTAAAGGTGTAGGTCAAAGTTCCTTATGGTCCAGGTTCTGGAAACTTCTACCCATGGGATATTTCCCCAAGTGTGGTACACAAGATGAGTGTAGATGGTGCAAAGATGAGCGTTTATTTTCATAACACTTCTGAATTTCATTTACTATGGATTGGAAAAGTGCTGGTTTTCTACTTTGGAAAAATGATGGCAGCCCATGTAGGTTTGCCGTTGGTTCATTAAAGCAACACTAAGATGCCCTTTATCCCTCTCTGTTAGCACAAATAATAGAATGAAAATGTCATTGCCACAGCTAACTCAATTAAAAGCATTTCTGAAAGTTGCCCCTTGCTCCTGGTGTATTGAAGACTAGATTTGGAGCCACTTGTCACCAGCCCCATGGTGGACTGTGCCATTTACTCCCCCAAAGGACCCCAGGAAACCAACGTAATCAGCCTCGTTTTACAGGTGAAGAAACTGATGTTCTGGGAGGATGAGTGGCGTCCCTGAGACTGCACGGCTGCACAGGGGCAGCTGCAGGATTTCAACTCAGGCTGACCCCACCTGCGAGCCCCTTGGCCCCCCTGTGGTATTGGGGATCTAGGGCCAACTGCCTGGGTCCCAGCCACTAGTGCCTGGCCCTTGGGCTCTTTCATCTTGGTCAGTGTATCTAATCTCTGTATCTTAATTCCTGCATCAGACTAACGCAAATAAGTTCTTCCTCGCATACTGCATATTCTGAGAACATGGCTGGGTTCTTCCTTCCTTTCCTTCTCTCCCCTTATTGAAAACGAACCGCTGTCTTGTGACTAGTGTGGCCTTGGCAGTTTTCGCCCGGGGCATTTCCACGGCGGCGGCTGCCTCCGCTTCCTCCCACATGGAAGACAGCACGTTGGCAGCTAATTCACGGGATAAAGGCAGAGGCGGTGCAGATCAGTGAGCCTGGGAGCAGCAGTGAATGCCAGGGGTGCCTTCGCTGCACCAAGCACTCAGCCCTGCAGTGTGACTCAGAGCCACTCGTCACCAGCGGCCTCGGGCAGTCCACCAGCCTGAAACCACAGGACAGGACGGGCAGTCCCAGCACGGAACACTGATGCCCGTCATCATTTAGAGACTCAGAGGCAGTCACGAGAGGAAGTGGATCAGAGCCACTCTGGACTTCTCACGGCCAGCGCAGACCCTCGCATGTGTGACATGCACAGGGTGCCCAGTCTTCCTGGGCCTTTGGATGGAGCCCTCGGCCACCTGGAGGGAGCATTGAAACGGAAGATGCTTCACTCACACTTGGTGTTGCCTTCTCAGGTCCCAGCATCTGCACAGAGGCCTCTCGGGGTACGACAGTCTCCTGCTGAATGGCACCTTCCCTCCAGCACCTGCAGGCCTGCCCTGCCCACTGCACCTGCCCTGCCCCAGCGCTCCTGCCTGACCCTGGAGAAGGATGGAGAGGCAGGGTTTCGTGGGGAGTGCCGGGAAGGGGCTCCTCGGGAAAAGGAAGCTGATGGCAGCCCCTCCCTCACCTGCCCCAGCAGCTGAGCTCATCTCCCGGGGGCACTCATGCTCCCTAGAAGTGACAGGTGGGCCCGCTACCCACAGGCCAGCGGAACACAGCTCCTTTGGGGTGGGGGAAATCCTGCCCTTTCCTTGGCCACAGCCATCCCCACGCACCCACTGAGTCAGGATGGAGGCCCAGCCTGAAGGTAGGGGCTGGAGGGAGCACAGCGGGCGTGAGGAGGCGCTCCAGCCGTTCCTCGTTCTAAGTGGGAGCTCCCTGGGAGGACAGATGACTGCTGCATTAGGAGGGCGTTTCAGGCCCACCTGCTGCCTCCAAGGAGCATAAGCTGGCAATGCTGGAAATCAGCCTACGGCTGCCCCTCCAGGTGACCCCATCAGGGGAGCAGGACTACGGAACTAGCAACCCAGGTATTGAAGGATTATCGCTCTCCAGGGACTTCACTGCTGGAGCCAGGCCAGTGCTGGCATCTTTCCGGGACCTGCTCTAAGCTGCCAAGAGGAAGTGAGATTCATGGGTACACCTGCGGGCGGCTGCACTCCTCCAGGCCACACATTGGACCCAGCAGCTCCTGTCTGGTTAGCAGTGCCCAAGGGATGTTCCTGGTGCTGGAAACCTACTGGATTTGGGGTGCGTGCGACCCACCTGGGTCTGAGTGCTTGGCTTTCCACTAATCTGCTGAGTCTGTGTCCATCTGCCCATCTCCCCTTTTCCTTGCACTATCTCAGAATCTCTATTTCATAAAACGCCAATTATTTGGCTATTACCCTCATTTAAAATTGTATATATTAGTTAGAACATAATCCTCCTTCTCTCTCCGATCTCATTAGCTGATAAAAGCATTAGCAGATTGTCACATGTCTAAATGACCGTGTAATAGGTATCGGCTTTAATTGTTGGTACTTAAGTGGCCATTATAACAAAGTGTTTTGCTTCATAAGCCAGGTAAGCCCCTCGCTCTCCGGGGAGGAACGCTGGAGACTCGGCTGCTCAGAGCCGGATTGGCAATCTGCTGGCCACCTGTGTGTAGGACTCCGGTATTTTGACATTGGCCTCCAGAGTCATTTTTGTTTTGTTTGTCTTTAGAGGATATAAAATTTACCAGTTTAAATGTACTGGTCAGTGGTGTTAACTACATTTACACTGTCGTGTGACCATCCCCACCGTCCATCTCCAGAACTTTTTCATCCGCCCAAGTTGTACCCAATAAAGAACAGCTCCCTTCCCCCAGGCCCTGTGGCCATCGCTCTACTTCCTTTCTGTATGACCTGAGTACTCTGAGTACCTCATATAAGTGTAGTCGTAACTCTTTGTCCCTTCGTTACTGGCTTATTTCACTCAGCTTGTTACCCTCAAGGTTCCTCCGTGTTGTGGTCTGTGTCAGAATTCCCTTCCTGTTGAAGGCTGTGTAATATTCCCCTGTATGTATACATCACATTTTGTGTCTTCATTCATCCATTTGTAGATGCTGGGGTTGTTTCCATCTTTTGGCAATTGTGAATTGAATTACTGGCCTCAGGTGTCTTTGTTTTGTTTTCTATTCCAATCCTTTTTTTTTTTTTTTTTTTTTTTGAGATAGAGTCTTGCTCTGTCACCCAGGCTGGAGTTCAGTGGTGTGATCTCTGCTCGCTGCAACCTCCGCCTCCCAGGCTCAAGCAATTTTCATGTCTCAGCCTCCTGAGTAGCTGGGACTACAGGCACGTACCACCATGCCTGGCTAATTTTTGTATTTTTAGTAGAGACAGGGTTTTGCCATGTTGGCCAGGCTGGTCTCGAACTTCTGACCTCAGGTTACCTGCCCGCCTCGACCTCCCTAAGTGCTGGGATTACAGGTGTGAGCCACCGCACCTGGCCTTTTCTCACCTGCTTCTCATTTTTACTCCTCAGTGACTGACATTAGACTCCATTGCGGCTCCTTCATAAATTCTATTAAACCACCTGAGCAACATGCGAGACGAAATTTCAAGAGCCAAGGAGTGAACTCTTTTCCTATACAGGAAAGAGTTCTTAGCCACTGGGGGGTCACCCACCCATCTGAGAATCTGAGAAAGTTCTGAATCCTCTCCCATTTGAAAACCATACAGTCACTCATACAAACGTGACCTTTTCAGTTTCCATGGACACCCCTGAGACCTATTTTTAGCCTACAGGCTTATCTCTGCTCTAGATAATTCATTTCTTCCCAGAACATGGTAAATCAAAAGTTTTCTAATCAGAGTGAAGTTGAAATGCTTGAATAAAACACAGAATCACTTCCAGTTTGGCAATGATATAAAGCGGAATGTCTGTGTTTGGAACTTTCCCGGTGCAGAACACGACAGTAAAACAAAAACAAAAACAAAAACAAAAACAAAAAAACCGTGCATCTATGCAGTGTCTCCAAAATGCATGGGAGGCCAGGAGCTGAGTGTGGGATTCTCCTTCTGGCTGCAGAGGGGATTGCTGACTCTAGACATGCAGGGGAGAGCATGCTGGGGAAAGAGGCAGAAATGCCCTTCTCCAAATGGGAGTCCCTCCCAGCACCTGCCTCCTCCGCTCTGACCATTCTGATTGCTGGCAGCTCTAGCCCCAGCCCACCAACCCCGCCCAAGCACACACACCCACCCACTGTCCCAGCACAGGGAATCAGTCAGGGAGCCAGGAGGCCCTAGTTTCCAATTAGACTGCACACGACTGTGTGCCGCTGCCCGGGGAGGGGCTTCTGCAGGTGGCCGCCGACCTCCGCCTCAGGGCAGCTTCAGTTGCACAGGCCATGGAGGCTGCTGCCATCCAGCTTCTGCTGCAAGAGCCCAGGTTCAGCCAGACTTGTCTACTGAGGATGGGGAGTGTTTGGATAAATTTGCCATACCCGAGCAGGAAATACAAGTCAGCCTGGATTTAACACAGAGCTGGAGGCTGAGCCTCAGCTGAGCTGCCATGTGCGACAGTGTGCTGGGGGGTGTGTGCACTGATATCCAGGCATCTCTACAGAAGGTGATGTGTCTGGGAGACATGGGTCCTCGGGTGTGTGCACCTGGGAGTGGACACAGGTCCCTGCGTGTGTGGACGGGTGAGGTGGGAAAAGGCGGAATAGACCAGGAGCACAACGTCTGGGGCCTGGTTCCCTCCAGAGGGCAGAGTTCCAGAACCAAACCTAAACCCTCCTGTCCTGGGGCCTGTGCAGCACAGAACACCTAGGACAGTCATTCCACCCAGGTCCCACAGAGTGAGGGACAAGGACAATCTCCCTTCCCCTTTGGTCAGGGACTCCCAAGGGGCTGCAGCCACGTTGCTCCTTTTGAGGTTCGGCCACAGCACTTGGGCAGAGATGAAGCCATCGCTCAGGGCAGCCCTGATGGGGGCTCTCCCCCTTCCCAGGAAGCCTGGAACCTCATGGCCGACTGACACCTAACCCTTGTGGCACTTTAAAATCACCCGGGGAGCTTTGGAAACAGCCCCCCATTCCAGACCCATCATTATAAGAATCTCCGGAAATGGGGCCTCGGCGTCCCAGGTGGTTCGAATGTGCAGGCTAGACCCACTGATGGCCTCTTCTTCCCCTTGGGAAGCCCTCACCCATCTTTGGTAAATACATGATTGATTATGCGTAAGGCGGGTAACTGCCAATATTGAGTCCACTGAAAGATGCACATTTCGGGATTCTGGTAGAGATTTTCCTTACAATCACTGTCAGGCAGGTGACAGGTATAAAAAGCTGCCATCGTCATTACTGAAGCATGTGCTTACCCCATCAAAGTGTCTCATATGGTTGTCACTTTAATGGGCATTATTGGACAACACATGGAGAGTTTAATTGCTATTTTAAAATATCCTCAAAAATGTTACACTATAATTTGGCCTTGAAATGAAAATATTGTGTGTTTGATGAGCACGTACACAGAGCATCAGGGCGTACCTTTGATGTCAGCAAAGCAAATGTTTCTCACTTCCATTTCATGGGGTTTTTTGCAAAGTCATAGCCAAGGGTTTTATAGAACCTAACAAAGCAAGACACCACAAAGAGTGATCCATGAGAAGGAACTGTCCATCACACACCTAGAACACCAAAGGCCAAGAGATCACCAAATCCCGGAAACAACTTTTTAAGAGACATACGGCTCTATTGCACTCTACGGCCCAGTCACCATGGGAAACACAGGCCCATGCTCTGAGCCCAAAACAAGAGCCATGCAGTTGCATATGGATGTGGAATAGAGAAAAATCTTTAGAAATACCCCCACCAATGTATTTCACTCATTTATTCAATTTTATGTAAGTACGAGAGTGACATGATACAATCCATGTCTATGAATTTCAAAAAGAGATCTTTCGATAAATATCAAGAAAAATTTGAAATGATATAAAGCATTGTTTCAGCTTTATTGGAAATGCTTTTCTTAGTGATTCACAAAATGGGTGCATCTTAGAATCGATGGTTTGTTAGTTTCTGTGAAATACGGTCATTTGCTACTGGATCTAATTCCTAGCACTCAAGTTTAACCTGCCTGTTGCCTGAACCATCCGAGCTCCCATACTCTGGCTCTGTTCTCTTCTGAGAATGCCAGTAGGTGCCCCCTTCCCAGGCTTTTCCATTTCACGGAGAGACTCTCTGGCACTGGCCTCTGCCCTCACACCTTCTCACCCACCCCCATCCTGACAGGTCTTGCAGCTCTTCACCCCTGAGTCAACCCTCAGTCTTTCTTCTGCCATTTCTCGTTTTTACCATGCCTCTTTCCCTGTAATTTCACCTTTTTCCAGCACGCACTGCCAAACGGGGGCCCTAATGTCAATCCGTCACTCTTACTCATCTCTAAAATGGGGGCCAGTAAGGCAGAGACTCAAGGCATGCGCTGGGGAGTCACAGGTATAGATTCCCTCCGAGCTTTCTCGTAAGCTGGGTAACCTTGGACATGTTGCTTTGCTTCGCCTGAGAAGGGGAAGAAAAAATCACTATGTCGTGGAGTTGTTGCAGGATTAAATGAGAGAGTGCGTGCATTTCAGACCCTCTTAATTACAGCTGCCTCCGTGGCTTCCTTCCCAAGTGCAGCTACTACGGAGTTTGGGTGGGATTGACCAGGTCAGGGCTTGACTGGCTTAATCCCAACCATGTGACCTAGGGCACGTGACCTAGGTTGGTCTAGTCAGAGTAAAGCTCTGTTCTTACTCGGATGGTTTGGGGAAGAGAAATTCCTTTTTGCCCTGATGGTATGGTACAGTCATCCCTTGGTATCTGCAGGGGTTGGTTCCAGGACCCCTGAGGATACCATATTCAAAGATGCTCAAATTCCTGATATAAAATGGGATAGTATTTGCAAATAACCTCCAACAATCCTCCTGTATTTTTCAAATCATCTCTCGATTACTTAGAATACCTAATACAATGTAAATGCCATGTACATAGTTGCTATACTGTATTGGGTTTTCATTTGTATTATTTTTCATTGTTGGATTGTTATTTTTAATTGTTGTTTACTTTTTTCTGGTCCTCAGTTGGTCGAATCCAAGGATGCTGAACCTGTAGATCCAGAGGGTTGACTGTGTCTATGAAGGCTGTAAGTAACCCCAGGAGCTCTTGGCTGCCAAGAAACCAGTCTGAAAAAGAGGCTGGCCTTTGAGGAGGATAGGAGAACAGAGGAGGGTAACTGAGCCAGGACCCCTGTCAAACCACATCTGATCCCTACAGTGACTCAGGTATGTGAGCCATAAAAATTATCTTATTTAAACACATTTCAAGTATCTTTTCTATCATTTGCAACCAAAAAGCATTCTAAAGGATCCAATATGAAAAGCATTTAACAAGAACTTAACAGACAGTAGTTATGTTATCAACTCAAGTGTTTAAAATTTATAACGGAAATGAGGGAAATGAGTAACATGTCTGTCACTCCAAGTGAACCTGTTCTGTAGCAGCATGTAAATCCCTGGGCCCTGTTCTAGAATTTCGCCAGTAAATGATCACCGCAGAACCCCTAACCTCCACTCTACCAACCAGAATACATCCCATTTCCACATTCGAAGTAAGTAATTCAGGGCAAACTCTTTTAGTGACAGAAAGTATTGATTCCGAACCCCATCTCTCCACTGTCCCCTAGATTAATTAAGTGGAAGGAATAGGAAGCCTGCTGCTCCTCCACAGTGCCCTATGGCACCAGGACGCCTCACAGAAGCCACACTGGCCCCACACGCCCTGGCTGTGTGCACAGAAGCCTGGGCCTGATGCTCTCGAGTGTTACTGAACTGAGCTGGGGTCCACGCACCTGCCGCAGTAGAACCAGATAGTCACACTGAGCTTTTGCAGCGGTAGAAAGGAAGGTGTATATTTGCAGGGCACCATGCAAGGAGGCCCAGCAGCCTCTGCTCCGTCCTGGCCTCCCTGATGGCTTGCCGGCAAGGACTCTCCCAGGCAGGGATGTGCCGCAGGAAAGCGGATGCTTCAGGCACGGTTGTAATCAACATGTGGAGGGAACACAGTGGTCTTTGCTGTTGGTTCAGGGGCGAAGTTTGTTTAAATTTTACGGTCAACAAAAAAGAAATGTGAACTGGCGGGGAGGGAGGCAGTGACTCCCTCCAAGCCCCCCAGGAAGAAACTTAGAAGAAAGAATGGTCGTCAGGGTTCAGTCCTCAGCTCCCCTCATCTGAGCTCTGCCTGCAGTCGGTCTGTTTGCTGAGGGTCCTCGGCGGCGGGGGTGGGGGTGCAGGTTTCTGGACTTGAACTTCCTCGGCTATTGTTTTAGGCAACTATGACATTCTTGCTTTCAAGTTGCTTATTTCCTTCTCAGGGCCTGGAATTTCTCTTGAAGGAACTTAGAAATTTTTTTTTATTTCCATACTTGCTCGGGGGGCCACAAACCCCTAAAAAAGGGGTCCCTACTCTGGCTTAAGAGCAGGAAGGTGTCGAGTCAAATCAGTTCTCCCAGGGAAGTGTGGTCTCCAGGAAGCAGAGGCTCCGGACACACTTCTGAGCCTTCGTTGTCTGGCCTTGGCTCCGTACGTGGAAGGAAGGCCAGAGCAGCCCCAGGCTCCCTTCTTCACCCTCCGCGGGCGGCCAAGTGCCTCCTGCAAAGAGGTTGAGGCGCGCTGCGGACCACAGAGCACCTGTGCCTCCACCAGGTCACCGGGCGCGTGGCTGTCCCTTCAGAGCACGAGGGTGGCGTTCCTGCAGTGTTCACAGTGGTCGAAAGGGCTCTTCCCGCCCTGGTCCTGCCACCTTGGAGGGATTGAAGGTGGCCCCCAGCTCCGTGGTGAGCTTGCCGGCTGTGATAGACCCATCACAGCAACACACTCCGTGTGCACCCAGTTGTCACAACATAGGTGGTGTGACTTGAAATCCAGTTGCTCAGAGTGGGGGCAGCAAGCTGGGCTTCGGGGGGTCCGAGTGGGGAAGGCGCTTCAGCCGGCAGAGCTGAGCAGAGCTAACTGTGAAGGGTGAGTTCCCAATACAAAGTCTTCCATCAACAGGCAGAAAACGTGCTTATGACTTCCTCATTGTACCCAGGGCTTTGCTACAATTCATATCTTCCTCATGGTTAATGGCGTTTTAGCCCACTGAAGCCACATAATACATTTCATCAATTCTTGGGGGAGGCTCCTGCCCAGAACATCAAAGCCAATTTGTAAATATCGAGTGATGGATTTTGTCAGTAAATTCATATCAGAACAAGGCAATAGCGTTCCCACACAAATTAATGTATCTTAGCAGATGTTTAACTTTGAATATCCTGTTTTGAATATATATTACCTGATAATGTATATGCACAAAGCATTTTTTATTTCCACTCATTAAATCTCAATCAGACAAGTAATCGTCCTAAGCTACAGAGGCACAGAAATCAGTTTTCCCTGCCCATCAAATAGAAGCAATTTATTGTGGTGTAAAATAAATGAACTGCTAATACAATTTTTAAAAAACAGCAATAACAAAGCTAAAGGGCCGTGCCCCTGAGGAAGGATTGCCGTGGTAGGCGGGGGCACAGAGCCAGTGGCTGGGTTTGAATTCTAGCTCTGCCACTGACCGAGCGACCTCAGCCAGGTTCCTCCCTCCCTGTGCCTCTGTTTCCCCTCTGCTAATGGGGATGTGTGTCATCTACTTCATAGGGTTGTGGAGGGACTTAAATGGATTAATTTGTGTGAAGCGTTTAGAACCCTGCCTGGCATTATGCATATTATGCTCATATCATTATACCCTAAATGACACAAGAGAAAGGTGGAAGCAGAAACAGACCTGGTGACCGACAAGGATGTAGAGGGTGACATTTTGGCCAAACATAGAAACCACAGAGTTTTAAAGGTCAAAAAATCTTAGAATTTTTATTTACCCGCTCCCCGTTTTACAGATGTGTTATTTGTCTGTTTTCATGCTGCTGATAAAGACATACCCGAGACTGGGCAATTTACAAAAGAAAAAGGTTTAATGGGCTCACAGTTCCACATGGCTGGGGAGGCCTTGCAATCATGGCAGAGGGTGAAAGGCACGTCTCACGTGGCAGCAGACAAGAGAAGAGAACGTGTGCAGGGAGTTTCCTTTATAAAACCATCAGATCTCGTGAGACTTATTCACTATCAGAAGAATAGTATGGGAAAGACCCACCCCTGTGATTCAATCATCTCCAGCCAGGTCCCTCCCACAGCACATGGGAATTATGGGAGCTACAATTCAAGATGAGATTTGGGTGGGGACATGCCAAACTATATCAACAGATGAGGGAACTGAGGCTTGGGACTCCAAAGTAGCTTGAGTGAGCTCCACCTTTGGTCCTGCAGAGCTCACACAAAGTGGGGGCCAAGGCGTTGCTCAGAGCAGCTGAAGAGACCTTAAGCAACATCCTTGACATCTGTTGACCTATGACCTTTAGAGAGTCATAAAACATATGCACACTACTCCCACATATCTTTGATGGCATATTCCCCTTGACCCAACTTTAAAATAAATAATAATCAATATAATTTTTTTTTTTTTGAGATGGAGTCTCGAACTGTCGCCCAGGCTGGAGTGCGGTGGCACGATCTCTGCTCACTGCAAGCTCCTCCTCCCGGGTTCCCGCCATTCTCCTGCCTCAGCCTCCCGAGTAGCTGGGACTACAGGTACCCACCTCCATGCCCGGCTAGTTTTTTGTATTTTTGGTAGAGACGGGGTTTCACCGTGTTAGCCAGGATGTTGTTGATCTCCTGACCTCGTGATCCACCCAGCTCGGACCCCCAAAGTGCTGGGATTACAAGCGTGAGCCACCGCACCCGGCCAAAAATCAATATAATTTTTTTAAAATTAAAAATTACAGTCCAGCAGCTGCTTCAACAGATGCAGAGCCCCAGATACAGATACAGGGAGGCCTTGGTGGCTCCATTTCTTTGAGCGTCCTCAGACCCCCTCCCTGAATGTTTTCCATCAAGGCCCTGCATCCAGGGACACTCCAGAATTTTCCTGACTAACTAGTGGAGTGTTACTGAGGTTATTGTCATGGGAAGAAGAGCTGATGAAGGTGAATTTAGAGTGATTTTGCAGACTGAAGAGCTGCAGCTTGGGTATCTCACACCAGGCTGGGGTTTCCTGTGTCATTGTGGTGGCCATCCTCATCACAGTGACTGTTTGAAGAGCGCTTGGCCCAAGGCAGTGCTGTTGTAGCTGCTCTGTAGAGAGGAGAGAGCACCAGGGTTACTTAGTGGATCTCCCCACGCCTAGCCCATGCTCTCCCAGTTACCTGGCATATGCATTTTTTTTTCTATTGCTGCTGTAATAAATTACCACAAACTTAATGGCTTAAATCAACACCCATTTTTAATTCACAGTTCTCATGCGGTATGCTTTGGATATTTGCCCCTTCAAATCTCATGTTGAAATGTCACCTCCCATGTTGGAGGTTGGCCCTGATGGGAGGAACTTTGATCATGGAAGCAGATCCCTGGCGAATGGCTTAGCACCATCCCCTTGGTGATGAATCAGTTCTCACTCTGAGTTCACAGGAAATCTGCTTGTTTAAAAGCTGGTGGTTGGCCGGGCGCGGTGGCTCAAGCCTGTAATCCCAGCACTTTGGGAGGCCGAGACGGGCGGATCACGAGGTCAGGAGATCGAGACCATCCTGGCTAACACGGTGAAACCCTGTCTCTACTAAAAATACAAAAAAAAAAACTAGCCGGGCGAGGTGGCGGGCGCCTGTAGTCCCAGCTACTCGGGAGGCTGAGGCAGGAGAATGGCGTGAACCCGGGAGGCGGAGCTTGCAGTGAGCTGAGATCCGGCCACTGCACTCCAGCCTGGGTGACAGAGCAAGACTCCGTCTCAAAAAAAAAAAAAAAAAAAAAAAAAAAAAAAAAAAAAAAAAAAAAAAAGCTGGTGGCACCTCCCTCCTTTCTCTCTTGCTCTTGCTGTGGCTCCTGTCGCTTTCTGCCATGATCGTAAGCTTCCTGAAGAATCACCAGAAGCAGATGCCCGCACCATGCTTCCTGTATAGCCTGCAGAACTACGAACCAATTAAAGTTCTTTTCTTTGTAAATTACCCAATCTCAAGTATTTCGTTATAGTGATGCAAGATTGGGCTAACACTTTTGGGTCAGAAGTCTGAGCACAGTGTGGCTCAGCTGGTTTTCTGTTCAGATTCTCACAAGGCCAAAATCAAGGTGGCAGCAGGGCTGTGTTCTTCTCTGGAAGTCTCTCTAATCCGTGTCCAGGGTCATTCAGGCTGTGGTGGGATTCAGTTCTG